TACAGCATCAAGATTTGATATAAGTATATATTGCAAAATGATCCCCACAATAACTTTAGTTAACATCCATCACCTCACATAGATACAATTTTTTTTTCTTGTGATGAGAACTTTTAAGAACTACTCTCTTAGCAACTTTCAAATATACAGTTGCTTCTGTTTGTAAACTGGTATCATTCATTCTGCAGATAGGCTCCCTGAGAACAGTGAGAGAGACTGGGTTCAAGGAGGACAATCAAGGGGCTGTTGGCTTCACTCCCTGTGGAAAGTGACAGTGACTAGAACTGGGGTGGTAGCAGTGGGATGGAACAAAGTGGACAGGTGTGTATGAGAGTTCTTTCAGGGTAAATGTCAGAGACTGATGATAGATTGAATATGTAGGGAAAAGGACAGGCGTCAAAGATGATGGTGCTTGAGCATCTGGCCATGCCAATCACCAAGAGAGAAGATGATGGAAGGAGCAACAGGTGGAGGTGGGGTGGGGTGATGATGAGCTCAGTTCGGAACATATTAAGTTTGTGAAGCTTCTGGATCATCCAAGTAGAGAAGAAAGTAGTTTGGCAGTATGTGTCAACTGTCATAAAAATGTTTCCACTTCTGGGCATCTCTTTTAAGATAGTAACATTAAAGAATATGCACAGAGATAGTCTTTACAGTATTATTTATAACATCAAAAAATGAGAAGCAACTTACGTGTCCAACTCTGAAATAATTACTGAATAAATCGTGTACACTTAAAAATTATACTTCTATAAAAATATAATTACAAAGACTGTACAATATGGTAAATGCTTGTGACGCATTAAGTGAAAAAGCAGGATACAAAATTATATTTTAGAGATTGATTGCAATTAGGCTAAAATATATGCACTTGAAAAGTATTCTGCAAGGTACGTTGGAAAATGAAAATCGTGATCTTGGTAATAGAAGTTAATTGTTTTTATATCCCACGTTTTATGTAATGTTTTTATATTGCTTTTATAATTTGAGGAAAAAAATAAAACATTTCGAAGCACCCAAAACGTATGCTTATGCCTATTTATGTTATCTTGAAGTGAATTAATTTAAAATCTTACTAATTATAAATGCAAATCAATGTTATGTAAAAGCAAGAGAACTAACAGTTTTTAAAATATTTATTTTATTTCTGTATTTACAAATATATTTCACAGTTATCAAGGAAAAATATGGTCTTTGCTAAGCAGTTAATAAGGGGATAGAAATTGGCTTTATATGAAGTTTAAAAGTTAACAAATTGTTATAAATGGAATATATTTCTTTTTTTTTAATTTTTATTGTAGTGTAGTTGATTTACAATGTTGTGTTAGTTTTTGCTGTACAGCAAAGTGAATCAGTTATACATTGACATATATCCACTCTTTTTTAGATTCGTTTCCCACATAGGTCATTACAGAGTATTGAGAAGAGTTCCCTGCGCTATACAGTAGGCCCTTATTAGTTATCTATTTTTTATATACTAGTGTATATATGTCAATACCAATCTCCCAGTTTATCCCTTCCCCCCACCCCATCCCCTTTCCCCCTTGGTAACCATAAGCTTGTATTCTACATCTGTGACTCTTTTTCTGTTTTGTAAATAAATTCATTTGTACCATTTTTTTAGATTCCACATATAAATGATAGCATATGATATTTGTCTTTCTCTGTATGACTTACTTCACTCAGTATGACAATCTCTAGGTCCATCCATGTTGCTGCAAATAGCATTATTTTGTTCTTTTTTTTTTTTTTTTTTTTTTTTTTT